TTGGAGGAATGAGAGTGTTAATGGAGTCATCACTCACCCTTTTCTCGTCTTTTCCCTTCTTCCTACTGCAATTGTAGGACTACGTAGCCAGCAGTGACTCGTCATCAGTTGCGACCAACCGCAATGTCACCCCCAAGAGACTACGCTCGAGCCGATCCTCGCTGGTATCCTCCTATCATAGCCACCACCTTTGCTTCTTCCTTACCGCCGGACTCATGGGTCTCTTTCCCATGGAATGCACACCAGAACGTGAGCCAGCTGCTGGCGAGGCAGCGCGTCCTCTGCGCCGCTTGCTGCGTGACCGCCAAGATCAACGGCAGCGGATGGTACCATACGTCCACCTCTGCACGTGCAGCCAGCTCGGCGAGGTGACCTTTGTTGTGTGCTTCTTCCGTTCGGTCTGACCTGTCGGCTGTGTGGCTGGCGCCAGGGTGGACGTGGGGGGCCAAGGCACGCAGACCCTCGACATCTGGTGGGCGCAACACAACAAGACATGGCAGTGCACCGCGCTTCTCCCCGAGGCCACCGACGACCTAGATGCCACCGGTGCCACGCCAGCCGACGGTGCGGTGCGGCCGCGCGGGTGGAGGAAGATGCGCGCCGAGCGCAGGGACACGGCGATGCAGCGGCACCTGATGGTGTTGGTGGGCGACACCGGCTCACCGGTGCCGCTGAGCCAGTTCATAGACGAGGCCACGGCCGCCGACACCGCCGACGTCAGCCAGAAGTGCGCAGCCGAGAAGAAGCCGCAGCACAAGAAGGCGAAACAGGCCAGGGCGCGCAAGGCCGCGGCCTCGCCGGAGTGGGCGGTGATCCGAAACCAGGACGTGGAGACCGACCAAGAAGAAAACGAGAACGAAAACGAAGACGAAGCCGAAGAGGAGAACGAAAGCGAAAGCGAAAGCGAGAGCGAGAGCGAAGACAAGGAGGGAAAGCAGCAGCCTGACGTCAGCACGAGCGCAAGCCCGGCGAAGGACCACTCACCGGCGCCGATGGTGATCGACGCCGATGGTGTTCATGGCGCCGCAGCGGCCGAGTGGCAGGAGGCCTCCTTTGCTCGTCAGCCGGGCACCACAGCCATGCCGCTCGGAAGCACCCGCGCCGGCACCCCGGCTGCATCCCGCCGCAAGGCGCCCGTCACCCGCTGGCACATGGAGGAGAGCGACGGCAAGCCCGTCTGCATCATCGACGACGACGACGCCGACCGTACCACCTTCTTATCTTCTTCTTCTTCTTCGACGACCACGACACCTACATCGGTCTACAAGGATCCGGAGAACGCGACGATCGTCGATGATGATGACGACGACGACGATGATAGTGATGTAGACGACGAAGAGGAGGAAGACGTCTACGTGGCGGTCACGCGGTCGGGCAAGCGAAAGGCGGAGATAGACCTGCTCGCCGGCGAGGTGAGCGACAAGGGTGAGGACGACGAGGACGAGGACCCGCTGATACGCAAGCCGAAGCGGCCCTACACGAGCGATCTTCCGGCCGCGCCGCCCACCACCTCATTCCCCTCCGCACCCACCTCGTCGTCCGCGACAAGGCCGCCCGCCCCTTCACGGCACTCATCATCGTCGTCGTCTTCTTCGTCTGCTTCGATCACCTCAGTGCCTTCGTCGGCGTTCCCCGTGTCACACTCCCTCTCGTCTCTCTTCGCCCCTTCTTCTTCCCAACGCTCGCCAGGCCTCGTCCAGACCCTCTCGGTGCCCTCGCCGCCGGTCTCGGCTTCTTCCTCGCTGCCGTCGTCTCCGCTGGTGGCCGCCAGCTCGCCCGAGTTCATCGACTTCTTCGTCGATCTCACGCCTTCCACGTCACCCGCTCCACCCTCGCCTCCTTCCTCGGAGGCGCCCACATCCACCACCGCCACCACACCAGCGTCGGCCAAGACCCCGCCTCCGCTGCCGCCCTTCACCATCCGCGTCCCAACGGCACCACCAACGGCGCCATCGCCGCCGCCTGTAAGTACCCCAACGTGGCGCCAGTTGCTCGCAGCGGTGCCCAGTGACCCGGCAGCCCTTGCGGCGCAGACTGGAGAGATGAGCCGCGTAGAGATCCTGGCCGCCCTCCAGACCTTGGCTTCGCTCACCACCTCCCTCGTCTCCTCCCTCGCCCGAAAGTAAATGATTAATCATTTAATTGTATTTATTTAACTTTTAATAGAAATTAAAAAGCATAATAATAAAGAAAAGAAATCAGAGGCTACTGAGGACAGAGAGCACGTCGCCCAGGCGCACTTGGTGCTGGGCGAGAAACTCGTTCAGTTCGCAGGGCAGCTTGTGACGCCGCCAGTCCACCTTGTGCCGCCATACCGTCTCGCGGCACAGGTGCCCCAGCGGCCGCAGCTGCATCGACCGCAGGCCCTGGTCGATGCCCCGCTTGAGGTAGTCCCGAATCGTCTCCACCCGCTCGTAGCCGTACCACCTGTCCTGAAACTGCTGTAGGAGCTTCAGCACCTGCAACACCAGCCCACACTACGGTGAGTCATTTATGACAATGACGACGACAACAACGGCGATGATGATGATACGAACCAAGCTGAGGCGCTCCATCTTCTGGAGGTTGAGCATGTTTTTGGTCTTGAGGAAGGCCAGCTGGTCGTCGTCGAAGGCGGCCTCGGTGGCGTTGATGATCTGCATGCCGTGGAGGTAGGTGCCCAGGAAGGGCAGGCAGGCCGAGTGCGTCTGGTAGAGGAGGTCCCGCCCGCGCTTGGTGCTGTGACTGAACTCGAAGCCGCCGCCGTCCAGCGTCTCGGTCTCCGACGAGTGGAACAGCAGCGCCAGCTCGGTCAACTTGTTTACATCCGATGGAGACAACATCTGCTGCAGGTCATCGAAGTGAGGCGAGAGCACCAGTACCACGGCGCCCAGGGCGTGCAGGTTCCGCATACGAAACAGCTCCTGTGGTTTCGTGAAAACGTTTGGTCAACTCCACCGCCGATCGAGACGTTCTACGGCAGAAGAGAGAAGAAGAAGAAGAAGAAGCGCACCCAAGCGAAACGGAAGATGTAGTTTAGGGTCTTGGCGCGTCGGGGACCAACGGACGCGTTGATCTCGCGTCGTAGCCAGTGGACGAGGCCGCAGAAGCGGGAGATGATGGCGGCGAGGTGGTCCATCTTGCGTTTGACCTGCGCGTCGTTCAGCTTGTGGTTGTAGATGAGGTCGAACAGGCTCGCCTTCGTGCGGAGGAAGTGGGCGTATTCCCGGGGCCGCAGCCTTGCGAACTCCTTCGCGAGGAGCAGCGTCAGCTGCTTGGCCAACTCCCGTGGGTCCACTTCGTCCAGCTTGGTCTGCAGAGATGGTCCATCCACGCAAGGCAAAGAACGAAGACGCATTCAGAGACCAAAGAACGAAGAGCGAAGAAAGAACGAAGAGCGGGGGAAAAAAAAGAGCGAAAGCGAAAGGAGAGAATGGAGAATGACCACTTGGGCGTCGGGTGGGAGGAGGAGGATGGGAGGGTCGGGTTCCTCCTCCATGTGGGACCACACGGCCTTCGACTTGGGCGCCTCCTTGCTGCGCGCCTGCGCGATCGTCTCCAGAATATCGGAGCCAAACTGCGCTTCCTGCGCCTGCGCGAAGAGTCTCTGCGCTCACCATTGCCCATTATTCAAAGAGAGAGAGAGAGAGAGAACGAAAAGAATGTCAAGGGGGCAGGTCGACAGAGGGTGGTGAGAGTGGGCGCGTGGTCGTGTACGATTGTTTCGACAGCTTTGCTTTCCGGGTTGTTAAGCAGAAGCTCGGCCAGCAGCATCCGCAAGAGTCTCAATGTTCTGTTGAAGAAGAAGAAGAAGAAGTAGAAGAGCGTTCATGCGTGGGTGAGTTCACGGTAAACGCACTGTCAGTTAGCGTGTTGGGGAGTAGTAGTACTTGATCTTCGCCTGCGACTGCTCTTCGTCATCCTTCACGCGTTCATACCTGGGCGCGCCCACAGAGAGGGGAAAAAAGTCAGCGGGCCGCTGCGGAAGACGAGAAAGAGAAAGACCCGGCCGTACTTGGCGATGATGACGTTGATGAACTGGGTCGAGGAGCAGTAGAGCGAGTGGCAGTCCACCAGCATCTGCTCGAACGGCAAGTGCGCAGCTGCAAGTACACGCGAGGGCCGGGCCTCGTTTAGCTCCGATGGAGGAGGAGGACAGGAAGAGCGGGAAAGAAGGAAAGAAGGAAAGGGGGAAAGGAAAGAAGGTGGGGGGGTACCGGGGTGTTTGGCGGCGATGAGGTCTACGAGCTTGGGTAGGGTGGCGGCCTTGATCCTGCGCGGCCCGCCCAGGGTGCCTCCGTTCAGTATGGCCCGCAGGCTGTTCTCCTGGATCCAGTCATGCATCAATCGCAAAAATCAAAAAGGGGAATAAAAGCTTCAGCCAGGTACGGGGACCTGGGGACCTGCAGGGTTCTCTCAACCGGTACCTCTTCGTACAGAACGTCTTCGTCCTCCGGGTCCATCTTCTGGCCGACGTGACCTTGGGCGCCCAGGCGACCAATTTAAAAATAAAAAAATGTACAATCTTGTGCCGGAGAACGTTCACCGGGAACCCGTCGGGAGCGTGTAAAATGTAGCAAAGAATACGTAATGTATGTTATGTACACTTGTTGAACGAGTGATGCACAGGTTCAGTGGCTTCCTCAATCCCTCCCTTTTGGCGGTCGTCCTCTCTCTGTACAGCGGCCGCCGGTCGTCGCGTCCACTTATCAAGCGCCGCCTTGAGCGTGCTTCGATTGAGTGGCTGGGTAGAGGTGACGGAGATCACTGTAAGTGTGGGATCGTGCACACCACCGCACACCACGCAGGCAACTGGTAGTGGAGGACCAACTACTTACCTTGGCCACGAAATCGTCCATGTCGCAGGCGTAGGCCTTGTCCTCGTACTTTTGAGTGGCCGAGGCGGTGACGGCCACGATGGGGACACGGACCACCACCTTCCTCCTCTCGGCCACCTCCTCCGCTATTCGGCGCCGCCGCTCCAGCTCGCGTATCCGCTTCGTCGCCTTGAACCCGTCCATCACTGAAAGCAAGCAACGCCGAACCCACGTCAGCACGCGGGCCAAGGGCGATGGTGGTGTGGGCGTGGAGCGTTTTACCGGGCATCTGGCAGTCCATGAGGATGAGGTCGTAGTGGTAGTGGTGGCCATTGTCGCCGGTGGTGGCGGCGGCAGCGGTGTGGTCGTCGTGGCCTTCGCTTCCCTCGCCACCGAAGAAGCCGAGGGCGCGCTCGACGGCGGCGACGGCCTCGAGGCCGTTAACCGCCACGTCCACCTCGCAGCCGAGCGATTCCAGCATCCGCACGCCCACCTTCTGGTTGACCATGTTGTCCTCCACCAGCAGCACCCGGAGCTTGTTCTCCCCTCGCCTCGGACGCTGCTCCTCCACCAGCTCATCCTTCTCCCTTCCCTCTTCATCATGCGGCAGCAGCGGCGCCACGCCCAGAGCCGGCGAGCCCTCTCCGCTGCCGGTCTGGGGGATGCCCTGGGCGCTGCTGGCGGTGGGCGGGTGGTCGTCGCTGGGCGCGAGGGGCAGCGGCAGGACGACGGTGAAGGTAGAGCCGCGGTTGGGCTCGCTCGAGCAGGCGATGCTGCCGCCCATGGCCTCCACCAGCCGCTGGCCGATGGCCAGCCCCAGACCGTTGCCGCCGTACTCGCGCCGCAGGGAATCGTCGAGCTGGGTGAATCCCTGCATAAGACAACCAGGCTCAGAATCCGCACGACACGCACAACACACGCAAAGAGGAAGGTAATGTGTACGGAGAAAAGGTGAGCGCGATTCTCCGGATCGATGCCGATGCCGGTGTCGATGACACGGAACTCGACCATCTCGCTCGCGGCGTCGGCCAAGTCAGAGCCGAGCGACACTTCCTGGGGCTCGGCGGCGCTGCTGTTCAGCTCGCGCGCGACGAGCTCCACCTGACCGCCGGTCGGGGTGAACTTGACGGCGTTCGAGAGGAGGCACTGCAGGACCTGGCGCACGCTCTGCGCGTTGCCCCAGCGTCGCCAGTGCTGCAGGCGGACGTTGGAGGTCATGCGCACGCCCTTACGGTAGGCAGCGGCGACGGCCTGCCCCCAGGCCCGTTCGATCTCGTCGGTCAGCGAGAAGGCAGCGTAGACGAGGTCGGGCTTGGCGCTGATGAGGGTCTGGAAGGAGAGCATGTCGGTAATGAGGGTGTTCAGGTGCTGCGCGCAGCTCAGGATCAGCACCACGGCGTCGCGCACGCGCTTCTGCTGCAGACCCTCGCCCTCGAGCAGCTCGCTGGTCATCGCGATGATGCCGTGAAGCGGCGTGCGCAGCTCTGGCGCCACGCACGAGAGACAGTTTTAGCTCCGAGTTGGGCGGGTTTTAGCTCCGAATGGTGGGTTATGCGGGCGCACCGTGGCTGGTGTTGGCGATGAAGCGCTCCTTGGCCTTGCTCACCTGGAGGAGCTGCGCATTGGTGGCCTCCTTCTCCGCCAGCGCGCGCTGCATTTGGCGGAGGGCCGAGGAGCGAGACAGCTCGTAACCCACGCACGATATGCCCACGTACAGCGCAAAGTGGAATGTGCCGATCATGCGCCTGCACATTCCATTCCACGGAAGACACATCACCCACGTGCCATCTTCAGTCCCACGCCCGCACCTCCCGCCTGTGTCGCGTGTGTTGCTCGAGCGTACAAGGAGGGCAGGGACTGTGCGGGGAAGGCGGTGCAGTAGAGCGCGTCGCGCGCGAGGTGGCCCCACAACGGGAGGAACATGTGGAGAAGGGTCCCGATGAAGAGCGTGACGCTGCCGCCTTGCACGCCGGCGATGAAGAAGGCCTGCATGGGTACCACGAGGAACCTGCGCGGGTGTGTGAGCCACATTGACAGTGCACCGCGGTGAGAACGCACCACTTGTCAACGCCCAGCGTGGGTTCGCAGACGGTGAGGCGTGAGGCGAAGAGGTACAGGTGGCTGGTGGTGTGTTGGTGAAGTGGTTGATGGCATGTGGAGAATGTCAGCAAGACGTCAACTCGCACCAACAACGGACGCAAAGCACAGCCAGGCGTGGAAAGGAGAACTCGCCCCATGACGACGGTTGGCGCTAACAGGCAGGTTCGAAGTAGAGCAAGATGAACAAAAAAATTGATTGATTGAAATCGAAATTTGAGAGGCGGTGGAGATGGTGGAGGGAGCAGGGGTGGTGAGGGTAGCGTACGAGGTCCACAAGAAAAGCACGAAGGACGTGTGAAAGCGGAGGCGCAGGAAGATGAGCAGGATGACGGCGGTAACGGCGTTCGTGATGGAGATGGACGTGGACCAGAGGGACCCGGGCATGGCCGCGAACATCACCCCCAGCCCCAGGTTCAGCACCAGGTAGCTCACCAGTATCACCACGAAGAGCGTGCACGAGCCGCTCGTCGAGTCTGGCGGGTGTAGTGCTGTCCGTGTTGTGGCTGCCTTTCCATCTTGTTCTCCACCTTGTGCTGTTGTGGTCGGCTTGTAGCAGTTCTTCTTTCTCCTCATCCTTGGTGCTGTGGCTGGGGCGCTTCTCTGGGCGCTGTCCGCGAGCGGTGTACGGCCGAGCGGGTTGTGGTCGTAGGCCGAGGCTGCGTCCACGAGACCCATGTCGTGCTGTGTGGGCGAGACCCGGTTGGCAAACATGGAGAACGGTGGCTCAACGCCATGATCACGCCGGAGTCGAGAAACAGAAAGAAGAGAGGAACGAGCCGCATCTCGAGGCGAATCACCGCCGCCACCTCATCTCGCCCAATTCTTGTCCACTCCTGTGGCAACCGGTTGCAGGCCCTTGTTCGACGTGAAGACACCCCGAGGCCTCTCTTTCTTATGTGGCCAATAAGGCCTCATCAACGGTTGCAAGAGACGCTCGTCTCCGCCGCTGTTGTTTGGCCACATCTCCACAGCCAAAACAGACGAGCCGAGCGACACGAACGAACAACCAACCCATTGGTGAACCAAGACCCGGAGTGTGGCTCTCTTCTTCTTCTTCTGTGTTGTTGTCCGTCAGGACGGCCACTCGCTCGCGATTAGCCCTCCCACATCCTCTGCGTGGCGAACCACGCGTCGGTGCCCCAGTGCATGTTGTTGTGTGGCACTTCGTCTGCCGACGTGCCATCCTCGTCGTGCGGCCGCCGCTGGTGGTGGTGTTGTTGTTGTTGGTCCTTGTCCCTGGACGGTCGCTTGCTGGGCCGCTTCTTCTTCCTCCGCTTGGGCAGCTGCCGCCTGGTGACCTCTCCCGAGGGCAGCAGCTCCTCTTCGCCCGCCTCTGCCTCTTCGGCCTTTTCGCCGTAAACGTGTCGCTTGATCCAAGCGATTGTCGACGACAGATCGATCTCCTTCGCCTTTTCCTCCAGCACGGGGAGCAGCGCCGGGTTGTCCATGGCGATGGCCTCCTCGAGCTGCGGGTCGAGCCTGTGAAAGTTGTCGCCCAGCAGGGTCGCCGAGAGCTGCGCGCGAGCGCCACAGGGCCATGAGTGTTGGGTGTGCGGGGCTCACAGCGAACAGTGTTGGGGTTCGTTCGTTAGGTCCTACCTGCGTGGCGTTCAGCTGCGCGGTGTACAGCATCATCTCGGAGAGCCAGGGCGCCCACTGGAGCACGCCCCAGTCGTGGTCGTTGTTGGTCTCCAGGAAGCGCGCGATGTACCCGGTGCCGATCGACAGCACGTGGACCTGCAGGTCATGGTTAGTGGTGCGAAAGCGGCTCCAGAAGCCGCCTGGGGACCACCAACCTTGGCCGGAATCTTGGGCGTGCCGACCGTGTCCGGGCTCAGGACGGTGGTGATGGCGGCCAGCGAGGGGTTGTTCGACACTATGGCGCCGTCCACATGGCACCGATGTGAAGGAAAAAATGTGGGTGCTGTCGCATCGCGCGCACGTAAGCGACTTCACCAGCCACCGCAGGAGAAGAAGAAACAAGGGAGGTGCATGAAGCGTACCGGCAGCAGAGGCGAGAACGAGATCCATGACCAACGAATCGCTGTCCACTTTCAGGAGGGGCGAGCGGTTGTCCCTGCTCTGCTTGTTGTTGATCGGAGCGCTGCGCCTGGTAGGAGCACTGTTGTCGCTGATGGGAGAGGGCTCGCGCAGATCGGAGTTGCTCATCGAAACGTCGCTTTTCTGCCGGGGCAGGTGCAAGCTGTGCATGCTCCCAGAGAGGCCTTTGCTGCTGGACGGCTTGATGAGGGTCCTGGGTGTCGGGCGGCGCCCGTGACTGCCCATGCCAGCCACCGCATCGACTGGCGCCTGGCCCGATCGTCGAATCTCGCTCACCGGTTCCGTGTCGGCGTCGGCGTCAGAGTCGTCGGCCTTGGTCCCAGCTCGGTACGTCAACGACCCTCCCCGGGGCGCCTCCTCGGCAGGGCGAGGGCCTCGCGCGGTGGCTGCTCGCTCCCTGGGATTACCGCAAGGAGCGGAGTTGCGGGGGGACTGCAGCTGCAGATGAGCGACGTCCTTGGACCCAGTCGCGGTCCCCTTGCTTCCTCCGCTGTGATGTCGGTGGTGGCGGAGGTGCGGCTGCTGTGGGCGAGACGCCACATGCGCCTGTGCGCCGCTGGGATCGGCTACCTCCGAAGCAGCAGCAGCCACATCGTCGTCGGACACCTTGTCGGGGCTTGCCTCCTTGGCCTTGCCCTCGCTCAACGGCCCGTCATGGCCCTCCGTCTCCGTCGCCTCGCTAGAGGTCGATTCCAGCTTCTCGCGATGCGGCTCCACCTTCGCACCACCGCCGCCCGCGTCGGCTCGCCAACGGGTCGCTTCGGGCAGGTCCTTGCCCTTCACGTTCCTCCGCTTTCGCCCCTTGGCCTCCTTGCCATCCTCCTCCTGCCGCCTCTCCGCCGATGCGATCATGTCCTCGGCCGCGTTGCGTCTCTCCTGTCCGACCTTGTTTTCGCTTCGGGCGCGCCCGAGTTTCGCATTGATGCGTCGGCTCAAGGTGGACGACTCAGGGGGCGCTGGTGTGTCGGCGCTCGAGTTCTTACTATTGTTGCCACCACTGGGCGGCGACCGCACCGTGTCCTCGCTCATTGCCTGCATGCCCCGCCCGTCTTCCTCTTCCTCCTCCTCTTCGCTGGTCGTCGCGTCCTTCTTCACCTTAGGCAAGTTGTGATAGACGCGTGGGCTCCACGACCTGTTTCGAAATTCATGAGGAATGGGGTCGTCCACGCGGAAGGTCGGGACAGCTTACCTGTTGGTGCCTTGCTTGTGGTTGTCGAGCAGGAACGACGATATTAACAGATTGCGTGGGCAGGTGTCCAGAGTTGCGCCTGAGTGTAGAAAAGACGGAAACAAAAGTACAGGATCAGCACTGACGAGGAGGCAGGGTGCCGGCATGTAGTGGTCGTTACCCCTAAGCGATTCCTCGAGAATGATCTTGAGGTTGACCATGGAGTACTTGGCCTGACGAAGCGGGTAGCCGTGGAACTGTCGCACATTGCGGGGCATGAAGAAGAGGGGACCCAATGAAAGGAGCATCTTCTGCATGTACACGGGTGACCTGTCGTCGTTCACAACCGAAGTGGAGAGTGGAGTGGTGAGCAAACTCGACGTCAGACACGGGGACTACATACCTCCCGGTGGCTAGCGCCGACGCCACAATACTGCCGGCCGACACGCCGGCGAAGAGGTCTACACGCTCCATCAGGTCGGGGAAGATTTCGACCAACCGCACCAACAGAGTGGTGAGGACGATTCCCCTGAATTGACACACGAACGAGCGGACAGATCAGCTGTGTTGTCGCGCCACGTGGCCTGGCAGTTGGTGTGAGCAAGACGCACCTGAGGCCGCCGCCATCCAAGCTGAGGATGAAGAAATCCTTGTTGCTCTTGAGCTCGCCCTTGTCCGCGGCGGCCGCATCCATGCCGAGTTTCTTGTTTTTGGTGAAGCAAGTGTTGCCCAAGGGCGTCTTGCCCATCTCCATCATCGCACGCTCGTGCACGTCGCGCATCTCATTTCGCAGCTTGGTGGTCTCCTTGGTCTCCTGTAGGTCGTAGCAGTGGAAACCAGAGTGAAAAGTATCAGAGTTTTGTTGAGAAGGTGTGAGCAGCGGAGGTTGTGCGGCGGCACCTCAATCGTAGATTTTCGCAGGTAGTGCTCGCTCGGCGCAGAGTCGTCACCGACCGAATCGAGGAAGCGATTGGCCGTAGGCCGGTCGGCGACCACTTCGGGCGGTGCCGACACTGTCGTCGAAGACAAAGAATGAGTCTCTTTGTAAAGCTGCTAGATATCGCTCTCTGCTCAAAGACGACATGCACGTACTTCCACCCGAGGCGGGGCTTGGAGCGGCCACTCCGCCGTTGTAGGCTGGGTCGAATTCCGGGTGCGACGGGGTCCTTCGATGGATAGGCACCAAAGTGGTTTCCCTAGCTAAGAACGACAACGCACACTCGATTAGGCCAGGTGAAGATCGAAGAATCGGAAAAACAGAGGCGTGTTAGTTAGCATCGTGGTGTAGGAAAACTACCTTCTGACCGCTTACGCAGATTCGAGGTGCCTCGCTTGATTTTGTACTTGGTGTTGGTCGCCACCGCCTGAACAAAATCAAATCGTCAATAGAGCTGCATTCTGATTGTTACACACAACCCTCGCATGGGTGGGACCTTGGCTGAGTCGACTTCGTCCAACAGAGTGCGGTTGTGAGTGACGAGGTTGTTGAGTCCCTTTTGGGCTATGATGTGAGTAGCCATGGCCACCAGAACGTCTCTGCGGTGTTCGCGTGAATGCATTAGGCCTCGCTCGAAAAACAGTCACCGAGGCTTGCTGAAGAGTTCAAGTGTCGGTGTTGCTGTACCTTGACGGCGTAACGAACGAGTAGAGGAGCTCGTCCTGCTTGAGCAGGCTCAGCTTGAGCTTGGATTGTCGGATCTTGGACAAGTAGGGCGACTTGTCCCATTCCTCCTTCTTTTTCTTGGTCTGCAGCTTGTGCTGCTCCTTCTCCGTGAGGATGCCGCGCCTCAGGTTGGTCAGCGTGGTGAGCGGGACCAGGTTCTGCGTTCGCAGAAGAAGTTTTGAGAGGGATCAGTAGCCACAGGGCACACCTTTTTGAGCCGAGTGTGGCGTACCGCGGCGCCGGGCTTGAGCCACTCGAAGTTGTCACGGTCGGCAACGCAGTAAAACCGGTCCCACACGTCCTTCTGCTTGACCCACAGGAAGCCGGCCATCTCTTTGCGCTGGTTGACGTCGTGAAGTCAGCAACCGGCACCGGCACAACATCACACGCACAGCGAATCGAATCGCTCTCGGTGCAAAGTGAGCGTACTCCGTCATCGGTCTCGCCCAGTGTGAAGAACTGCTTCCAGGCCATCATCTGCTGCGGAGCCCGCGCAGCCAACTCGAGCTTCTCCCAGTTGGCCATCTCCGTGCCCTCGACGTCGAACCACTCACCCATGTCGTCGATGGTGAAGTCGTGGTGCTCTCCTTCACTGTCCGTGCTGTGAATCACCACCCTCTCCGGGTGGTCCTTGCTCTCCTCATCCC